TCCTTGTTAGCAGAGGACTTTATCTGAAGAAAACTACCATAATAACTGGTACTTAGTTTTATGAAAATCTGCATTAACATATCGCCACTGCACTTGAGCAGTGTAGCGACAAGTGTCTGATCATTATCATTTGTCTGCATGTCACGAAGACAGAAAAAAGGAGAAGGGTTTGTACGATTAGAGCCACTTGGGGTACGCTCTCAGGCCCGCATGCATTAACATACCCGCTGGAGAGCTGATCGCAGCTCAAAAGAAAAGCTTCATATCCTAAAGCTCCAAATATCTGGATTTTAGCTTGTTTACTTATCCGTAAGTATTCCTGGTACTTTTCCGTTATCCGGACCCATTTTTTCAAAAAGCTCTCATAAAATACGTTCTTTAGACTAAGACCAATTTTTCATAGATCCCACAAGGACTACCTCCCTGCCACGTGTCAGGAAAATATTGACACGTTTTGGTCTATTTTGACATGTTTTTTTCAAAATCATTTCCGGTGAGGTAAAAGAGCAATTGTGATAACCTAAAAGCTGTTTGATTGTTTTCTATAAAAGCAAAACAATCTCGAACTCATGCTAGAACATCTGGATTGGTTTCAGCAATGACTCAGCATTGTCCTTCTCTTCAAACTTTTCATCACGCGAATTTAGCGACACAAGACTATAAATGATGACTTGAAGTTCCTTGTTGCTGTTTGTTTCGTCACTTAGATGATGGGACCCTAGCTCACTTGCCTATTCTAGGCAATCTAATCTGTTCATTAATAGCTGAACGACGTTATTATGACAATGATTTTCATTTTTGGCAGTGTTTAATCGAGAATGGGGCTACTATTGCTTAAAAAACAGATTGGAATTGCTTCGCTAAGTAGGGCAACTCAAACTCTTGGTTGAACTTGTTAAACATGTAAATGACATGTCAAATTTTTTTGACACGTGGCAGGAAGGTTGACAATCGCTCCTGTAAAGCTGGGACCAAATATGGTGCAAGGGAGGAAGCAATATCCTTCTTCGAAAAAATGGGTCCGGATAACGGAAAAGTACCGTATTCCTATTATCCTTCACCATGAACATATTGAACAGGGGCAAGTCGTATTTTTCAGCTTTTTGTATGATCCCCTGATGTTTCCCGGGGACGATCGTTTATTCTTTGAAGTCATTCTTCTTTCTTCGAAGCTAATGAAAACATTCCAGAGTTACACCGATTATCTAACCTAACAGTGCCAAGCACGTTGCTGATAAGAACAAATGATGTTTTGAAGTTATGAAATTTTCAATGAACCACAGGTCGAAAGTTGGAGTTTATCGGAATTTTCGATATTCACCCTAGTTGAAGTGATTATGCGGGTTTGAGAATACAATGGCCCGTAGTAAACCCCCCATCAAGGCATCTCTCTCGACGCGGACCGGAGTTGAGGTCATCGCGCCTCAGTCCAGCATACGGCGAGCTATTGATTTGGATGCGGATCACTGCCGAGGCATTGCAATCAAATGTGTACTCGAAAAAGAAGCACTCGGGCTGGTTTGGTCAAACAGGTAAGCGAATAAAATTACGCGCGTGCGGCCGTGGTTCGACTCCATCTACCAGCTCGCTTTTTGATGCATCGCCGGGCAATCTTTGATAGCGGCCACTATGGCAATCGATGATGATCGCTATCAAGGACTTTGCCAAGCGAATACACGGATAAAACAAAAACACAATTTGTGACGAAAATTTTATGAAAAAACGAAATGATAGTAGCGTGTATTCAATGAAATGAATAAATGAGTTCTCGTCTTGTACAGCCAGCGAGAAAAAAATCAGTAAGATTTACAAAAAAGAGAAGAATTTGTTTTTTTTTGTTTTCCTCGCCAAAATCAGCTGTTCATCGATCCTCTCCTTTTCGGGCGCGGTTGTGCACTTTTGTGCCGATTTTTTCTGCATTTTTTGGCAAAGCTGTGTGTATCGTAAGTTACTCAGGAGCACTTATGTTAGATGCAGTCAACTCTTGTCTGCGTCTGCTCTTTTACACGCTATTTGCATTCCTCTAACATCCGTTCACTTTCAGTTCAACTCAACGTGAACGGATGTGGAACAGTTGACTGCAGCAGGTGGACAGATGGCCAACTATCAGTTGACTTGACCATATTATAGCATTGGAAGGTGGACGGTCATCAGTTCACCCTGACCTAAGCTTAACTGATGGGATAAGTTGAGTTCACCTCAACTGATCAAGCTTTACTACGGGCCAATGTTGCATGTGAAATTGAACGTAATAACTGATGAGAATGTTCGTAAAGTGGCAAACTCAAAATACGTAAATTGCGGGAAAGCGTTTCGATGAAAACAGCTCTGGCTTTCAAACGGTTTTGAGGATGAAGAAACTTTTTATTTTACTCCAGAGGAACCTTTCCATCGTGTTTCCCCATGCGGTAGACTTCGGCCGGCCAACAGTTCACGCTCAATATCTCCAAAACCTTCGCTACCCCATTTTCGAGTTCTGCCTTTCGTTCCAAAAAGTGACTTCCCGGGTTCGGATTCTCTCAAGCCTGCCAAAACTAAACTACGTCCCCCTTTTTTCGGTTTCAACGTCCTCTAGGATTTTGACTTCAGGGCTGCTACTACCAGTTTTTCCATGGTCGGGTCCCGGTTCTTCTCCAAAATGGTGTCGATGATTTCGCTAGCCGAAAAACCAGTAAACTCCTCTTCCGGGTCTGCGGAGCTAACGTTGTTTTCAAGAGGAATATCCTGAGACAAAGTAGCAGTTTTTTTTTCTGGTCACACGAGAAGAAACCTGAGTATTTGACCTACCCGAGCATAATGAAATGTTGATTGATGAATTAAAAGAAAAAGTCGGGAAAATTACACAAAGGCCTATACCATGTGCATTTGATGTCTTCTAGTGTTTTTCCGTTTCTATGATACTTCTGCTTCTTAACCGCCTCATAGGCATCTCGCTTTTCACAAAGAAAAGATGAATTCTTTGAGGTTTGCTGGTGCTGGTGACACTTCGTGCCGAAAACTTGCTGCGACATCCACTTTGACGCAAGTAACTTGATAATTTTTGGAGTACTTGGTAAGGATTGAAGCAAGCTTAGAAGATAAAAATCCAAAATCAAGATCCCGCAAACTGAATATAGTGTATAAGCAGGCCCCAGAACAAACCATCCATATCGAGCCCTCCCTCTAAGAATGTATAAATAAAAGAATGTATAAATGTATAAAACGGAAAATGGACCTCCCACAAACTTTTTCCTCCCCTCCCCTACTCCGCAGCTCCTTTTTGCAAGGGATTCGGATGCATTTTGACGTTACAAGCACAGTTGAATAGTGTCTTACTGTGTCGTATTGCAAACGATAGGACTACCTGTTGCGTACGACGAGACTAGGATTGAAGCACTGTCCAAGCAGAACTTTCCAAGGTTTTTAGTGTACCTGGGTTATGGAAGAGTCCAAGTGATCAACATATATATATATGTATATCTAGCATATAAAGCAGAAAATCTGTGTGTTTGTGCGTCTGTGCACCTTTCTCATATTTATGAAGGATGAGCGGTGAAGCTTATTTCAATCTGCTGATCATACATCAACTTTCTACATTTTACACAATCTTCTCTCTACTGGCATTCTCCAAGCCTGCCAACATAACTACGTCCCCTTTTTTCGGTTTCAACGTCCTCTAGGATTTTGACTTCAGGGCTGCTACTACCAGTTTTTCCATGGTCGGTCCCGGTTCTTCTCCAAAATGGTGTCGATGATTTCGCTAGCCGAAAAACCAGTAAACTCCTCTTCCGGGTCTGCGGAGTTCCTCTTGAAAACAACGTTAGCTCCGCAGACCCGGAAGAGGAGTTTACTGGTTTTTCGGCTAGCGAAATCATCGACACCATTTTGGAGAAGAACCGGGACCCGACCATGGAAAAACTGGTAGTAGCAGCCCTGAAGTCAAAATCCTAGAGGACGTTGAAACCGAAAAAAGGGGACGTAGTTTAGTTTTGGCAGGCTTGAGAGAATCCGAACCCGGGAAGTCACTTTTGGAACGAAAGGCAGAACTCGAAAATGGGGTAGCGAAGGTTTTGGAGATATTGAGCGTGAACTGTTGGCCGGCCGAAGTCTACCGCATGGGGAAACACGATGGAAGTAGGCCGAGGCTCGTCAAAGTCGTTTTTCCTCCCGTTCATTTTGGGTTCAAACTCCTCTCCAACTCGTACCGTCTCCGGAGCTCCGATCTGCGGAATGTTTATGTCCGTAAGAGTATGACAGCCTCAGAGCGCGCCCATGAGTTTGATCTGAGACGAACGGCTCGGGATAGGAACAAGGGGAAGCCGACCAAGGAATGGGTGGTCTACAGAGGGGACCTGCGACACATCTCAAAACCACCAAGACGTTCCGGGCAGGGAAGCGCGTAGCTCCGGTAGGCTTTTCTGATCTTCGCTGTCTCCTTTTCAACTCGAGAAGTTTAGTTAATAAAATTTACCTTTTGCATAATTTCTTGTCCCTTCGTTCTCCAGATGTTGTTTGTATCACGGAATCCTGGTTAAGCGCAAAAATTCACGATGCTGAGATCGTAGCCGATCTTCCATTTTCAATTTTTCAAGCTGACCGAACTCGCCGCAGGGGAGGAGGTGTCTGCTGTTTAGTTAGGAGTTACTTTGTTGTAAAACGACTGAATTACGGCAACAATCACAACTGGGATCTTTTGTGCTTGCACATGTGGTCCACGTCTTCTCTCTCGGCCTTAAGACTAAGACTTATTGTTTATCGTCCCTCGTCTTCTACACCTCACGACGATGCTGCTCTCACCGATGCCGTACATGACCTTTGCTCACTAATTCCTCCTGCTAGGGCACAAAATGGCTGCGGACATCCAAGTTTCGATAAAATGCGCACTTCTACTGAACATATAATATATAGCGCCTGCTCAAAAAGGAAGTTGTCGTGAAACTAAATTTTCGAGTGTACTGCCATTATGCTCTCATGCATCATATTGAAGCACAGCTGTCTTACTGCTTATCGCATCATCGCGTTCATGCTGTGGTCATATCGAATGCAAAACCACAAACCTGCTTGTTATCTACCATACAAGCCAAGATTGTAGTTCTCCAACCACCCCACTCCCCCACCTTCAGGCACTGCATCAGAAAGCTACCGTCGACCTTAAGCAACTATGATCAGAAGAGAAAATTATAGGTTTTGCACTACCCATTTCTCGTCTTCATCGCGATCTCTACCACCGACTTTACAAAGGCAGTGCGCAGTGACAAGGAAGGCAAGTACAATGAAGAAAACCCGCATTAGAAGAAACTGCCACAATTTCCTAAAATTGCATAATCAAATACTTCGATACAAGGCTTAATGAGTCAAATAAATAAGGCATCACAAGATAACCAGAGATTCTTTTTGGAAGAGTTTTGTTGAATGGCATATCATACAAGGCGTCCACGTACACAAAGCTATAAAACCACTGCAGCTATTATTCGTTCATAATGTGATGTAAAAGAATGCTTGATGCGTGTTGGCGCTATCTACAGCCAACAGAATGCATCAGACATGTGGACTTCTATGATAAAATGCACAGCGTTATCGTTCAAGAATCAGAAAATTTGTATAGAACAAGAGATCCGAAAAGTGCTATCTTCCATCATTCAACCTTTAAAAATACAGAGGGGGCAGTAGCTCATGTTATAACATGTTCTTGATTTCTTGTATTTTTGTTGTCTGTTTATCTTGTGACCAAGTCCTTCGTTGTAGACTTATTAGGCAAAAAAGTTATAAGGGCAGCTTTTTTTATAATTCGCTGAAGCTCACCTTGCTTAAAACACCATTCCAACTTTAGGGTGATAATCCACCACGGGTCCCCCTCTCATACGGAGTTTCAGCAGGTTAATCGCTTTATCATGGGTACGTGGAGCGTCTCCAGGTGGCGGGTAGGGGGTTAACGCTGACCAAAAGCGACTTCGCGCCTGCTCTGATAAGTAAACGGATCCGGAGAACCTGCGTCTCATCAAAAGCTTGCATACCTATTTCGCAGCCGCCGAAAACGAGATGGCAAGGACGATCTGTGCTTACAAATGCACGGATGCTCTCATCGGACGCATCCATGCAGATCTCATAATGCAAGCGAGGAGTATCGTACGACGTTATCGGACTACCGAGACAAAGAGGCACCACCCCCTGAACGCTACTTTTAATACAGGAGAAGAAGTTCTTCACAGAGCATGTACAGCGGAGAATTCGGCGGTAGGATTCCTTGTCAATACGAATCTGGCCGTGAACATCGATTTATCCGAACAACTCACAACTAAAATCGGACATTTAACGAATATTAAAACATAGATCCATCCCAGTTTGATACTCTCCATAGCAAACGCTCCAACAATGAGTTACGACGAAAAAGCAAGTTCGAGGCTTTCTACATGGACTTGAAGTTCTACAGAGATGAGCACACCACTCTTACAAGGTTATCGTCTGTGACTTCGCGAAAATCGGAGCAAGAAAGTCACTCGCAAAGCTTCACATCGGGACCCACGTACTATGGTGAAATGAAAAGGGGGAGGAATTATCCTAGCTCTCCATGACGACATTAACAGAAGTTTTGCCTTACGCAGGTCGCTGTTGTTCTAAGATTTTACACGGGATCGGACCATTGTTTCCTTCGTACTAAGTAGATTTTACGTTTTACGGGGTGGAAAGAAACCTTGAGTTCAGGAAGTTCACGACTACCATTAGCTGAGATCTGCTTCCCCCGATATCTGACTTCGGCGAGGTAACGTGGTCGACAACATCGACGAGGAATGCGAAAGATTATCCAGCATCTCCACCATTGTGCTAAGGAAGTTGAGAAATTAGGAAGTACGAGAGAACATTTGTTAACAGAAATTCTGGAGCTGATAAGCCAACTTACGAGCACATCCCGCAGGCAATTACCAACTTCCTTCGAGGTTGCGAAGCGCTGCAGAGAAGGGGTAAAAGAGCTGAGCGATAGAGCTGAATTCCGAAAAGTATTCTGGACCACATACACACGTATCTAGGCTCACTGAGGAGAGGTGCCGCGAGAGTAGAGAACGCGCTCTGTTTCACTTTTATCGACTTGAAGAAGGCTTCTGATTCGGTTGAGACTGCAGCTGTCATCGATGCCTGAAGCAATTAATGCAATCTGGCTTAGATTCCAAGGACTTCACAACAGCATCACAACAATCTACGAGGACATCATCATCGATGTGAAGAAGAGTGTAAGAGCGGTGTGCTCATCTCTGTAGAACTTCAAGTCCATGTAGAAAGCCTCGAACTTACTTTTTCGTCGTAACTCATTGTTGGGGCGTTTGCTATGGAGAGTATCAAACTGGGATGGATCTACGTTTTAATATTCGTTAAATGTCCGATTTTAGTTGTGAGTTGTTCGGATAAATCGATGTTCACGGCCAAATTCGTATTGACAAGGAATCCTACCGCCGAATTCTCCGCTGTACATGCTCTGTGAAGAACTTCTTCTCATGTATTAAAAGTAGCGTTCAGGGGGTGGTGTCTCTTTGTCTCGGTAGTTCGATAACGTCGTACGATACTCCTCGCTTGCATTATGAAATCTGCATGGATGCGTCCGATGAGAGCATCCGTGCATTTGTAAGCATAGATCGTCCTTGCCATCTCGTTTTCGGCGGCTGCGAAATAGGTATGCAAGCTTTTGATGAGACGCAGGTTCTCCGGATCCGTTTACTTATCAGAGCAGGCGCGAAGTCGCTTTTGGTCAGCGTTAACCCCCTACCCGCCACCTGGAGACGCTCCACGTACCCATGATAAAGCGATTAACCTGCTGAAACTCCGTATGAGAGGGGGACCCGTGGTGGATTATCACCCTAAATTGGAATGGTGTTTTAAGAAAGGTGAGCTTCAGCGAATTATAAAAAAAGCTGCCCTTATAATTTTTTTGCCTAATAAGTCTACAACGAAGGACTTGGTCACAAGATGAACAGACAACAAAATTACAAGAAATCAAGAACATGTTATAACATGAGCTACTGCCCCTCTGTATTTCTAAAGGTTGAATGATGGAAGATAGCACTTTTCGGATCTCTTGTTCTATACAAATTTTCTGATTCTTGAACGATAACGCTGTGCATTTTATCATAAAAGTCCACATGTCTGATGCATTCTGTTGGCTGTAGATAGCGCCAACACGCATCAAGCATTCTTTTACATCACATTATGAACGAATAATAGCTGCAGTGGTTTTATAGCTTTGTGTACGGAACGCCTTGTATGATATGCCATTCAACAGAACTCTTCCAAAAAGAATCTCTGGTTATCTTGTGATGCCTTATTTATTTGACTCATTAAGCCTTGTATCGAAGTATTTGTTTATGCAATTTTAGGAAATTGTGGCAGTTTCTTCTAATGCGGGTTTTCTTCATTGTACTTGCCTTCCTTGCCACTGCGCACTGCCTTTGTAAAGTCCGTGGTAGAGATCGCGATGAAGACGAGAAATGGGTAGTGCAAAACCTATAATTTTCTCTTCTGATCATAGTTGCTTAAGGTCGACGGTAGCTTTCTGATGCAGTGCCTGAAGGTGGGGGAGTGGGGTGGTTGGAGAACTACAATTTTGGCTTGTATGGTAGATAACAAGCAGGTTTGTGGTTTTGCATTCGATATGACCACAGCATGAACGCGATGATGCGATAAGCAGTAAGACAGCTGTGCTTCAATATGATGCATGAGAGCATAATGGCAGTACACTCGAAAATTTAGTTTCACAACAACTTCCTTTTTGAGCAGGCGCTATATATTATATGTTCAATAGAAGTGCGCATTTTATCGAAACTTGGATGTCCGCTGCCATTTTGTGCCCTAGCAGGAGGAATTTTAACCAAATCGTTCCTCAGAAAATATTTATTACGTTCTTTACTCGCAATGAATTCTCGTGATTGTTCGTGGTTCTGCTAGGATTGTATTCATAAAAGTTTTTTGATCTTAAATAAACCAATTATGATTCATTTGCTTTTTCCTCAAGAAGTTTGATTACCCGATTGTCATCTGTCACGACGGGGCACTGGGTATGTACCTAGACCCGGGGTTTGATCTATGGCAACTCAACGGCGACTTCATGCAATATGACTTTGAGAAACCATTCGAATATGTATCCAAATCAAGGGACTTCTCTAAACACAAAAGCACGACATTTTTATATTCAGGAAGAGGCACGCTTTGTCACGAAGCTCACTTTTGATATTTTACCTGCGAAAGGTATCTTAAGGTGGCAATTTGAGACGGGTTATAAACCACTAAACGCGTCTTTTAACAAAATGCAAATGTTTTAAAAAGCTGTGAGCGTTCAAAAGTCCAAAGTCCTTTAGCCTTCAGTGACACATAACCACAAAAGCTCTACATCTATGCTAACTTTCACTAGCTGTGTTTGTTCCTTGTGAACAATATACCTGGCACAAAAAGGATCTCTCACTTTCAGTTGCTTGTGCACAGCTTTTCGCAGGTTTTACGCCGCTTATGGCTTTACATTTTTGAACGACTTTCTTACGCTTGTAGTTTCAAAGAAATTCACAGAAAGCAGAAGTATCAGCGTTCAACAACTGGTTTAGCAACTCGTCTTCAATCACCACTCTAAGTTGGTATTCTCGTTGCTAGTGAAATTGTATAGTGTGAAAGGCTGTGTAGTTCAACATATGTAACATCTTTGTTGCGAAATAGATAACAACGAATAACACCAAAAATAGTGTACATGAGGAATAAATGTTGTAGACATGAAGGGATGTTCAAAATGTTGGCATTGTTGAAAAACATGATATAATATACGTCCATCCTTTTTCCGTGTCCATCCTTATTTATGCTGGTATTGTGAGCTTATTCCGATTCTTTGAGTTGTTGGTTGTCTGGCAGACGTGTAGGTCTATCACGCAAAAAACTGATTTATTTGTTCTTAAAAATTTTGAAAGCCGATGTAATGATATATTAGGTCATTCCGATAGTAATTTCGCTTTTTTCAAACGGACGCCGCATGTGGTAGAACAAAGATATCTAAGAGCAATTGCTAGCATTCGATGCAGAATTTCATCCTCTTTCTAATGGTTGTAAAGTTATTGCAGCACAATCGATGAGCTGTTGAAAAATAACGAAAGTCTGTGATCCATGCTTTTTGAGATGCTCAAGTTTCACAATTTTTTTAAAATTTTTATATCAATCCTCCGAAGGAGTCCAAATAACGATTCGGGAGAGCGAACCTCATAGAATACGGCGTGGCTTTTTCTCGTTTTTATGTTTCGCCATGATTTCTCAAAAGATTTATTATTGAAACCATCAAATTTTGACAGGCCTACGTCAGCCACATTCGCATCAAACACCAATAAATCTGCGGAATTTGAAACTTTCAAGATGGTATTATGATTCAACGCTAATTTTACAAAGCGAATGCGAGTTTGCGGAATCGAAATATCTAATTTAGATTTTTCCTAGTACAACCCGGAACGCGTTCGAAAATATGAATTATGATGATTTTGTACGCGAAAACTCTACGAAAGGGGAACAAAAAACATCCATTAAAAAGGAGAACAAGCTGCATCGAATGACACTCGAACTGCCATGAGTTTGATGTTGTGCGATGTTTGAGTTGACCAAGAATGGAAGGTAGCATCAATTAAAATTCTATTAACAAATTTTGAGGAGCTTTGTGAAGGAGAAAAAAATTGTTTCTTATCCTGTAGGGTTTGTTCTATCCGCCCGCTACTTGAGCTTCTTTGGAGGATTGATATAAAGATTTTGAAAAACAGCTAAAGTTGACCATAGCAAAAAGCATTGGTCGCAGATTTTGAGGATTTTCCGAAAGCTCATTGACTGGGCTACAATGTTTTTTTAACATTTAGAAAGAGAATGAAATTTCGCATCGAACGCTACGAAGATCTCTCAGAAAACCTTATTCCATTACATGTGGCGTCCATTTGAAAAAAAAAGCGAAATTACTTTCGGAATGACCTAATGTTATGGTGAGTCCGAAAGTTCTGTCGTTTCATTTTCAAAAATTTGTAACTTTGAGCTGTATCAACGGATTTGCCTGCTTGTAATTTTGTTAGAAAGTCTTTTGCTTTCAAACGCTACTTTGATGAGCTTCTGCTTCACACTGCATGCGGAGATTAAAATGGAAATGTAAGATCACATTAGCCTGGATCATTTCAACTCAGGTCACCAAAAATCTGGAACGCTGCAGAAAAATGTGAAATCGTCAGTACATATGTTTTTTGGCCTATTCTTTGCGACTGTGAAAAGTTTTTGCTGTTTTAATGTCTCTGTGAAAAGTATAAATTTCGAGTTTACTATGGAAAACGCCAAAATCATTTAATTTGCCAATTTTCTCGAAAGTCTCAACTTCTCAAAGAGACGTCTAAATAGCATACACTCTCCACAGTTGCAAACAGTAGGGCAAAAACGTATGTACTGAGAATCTCATGTTTTTCCGCAGCACTCTAGATTTTTGGTGACCTAACTTAATATGTTTGAAGCTTAAATGGTCTTAGTTTTCCATTTTTATCTCCGCATTCAGTGTGAAACAGAAACACGTCAAAGCAGTATTGAAAGCGAAAAACCAAGTCTTTCCAATCAAATTACAAGCAAGCAAATCCATTGAAATAACGCAAAGTTACAAATTTTTGAAAATGAAGCGACAGAACTATCGGACCCACCTAATAGTTAAATCATAAAGATAGACCGCTTTTGTTTATTACGATTTTTCCACGCACATTTATATTGAGTTGGAAAAAAGAATGTTGCTTTTTATTTCCTCAACATGGCATCGCAATAAGACAAACCTGCTTTGGTTTCAAACGAGCGAAAAAACAAAAAAAAATCGTATCTCCGTTCAAAAAACTTCTAAGAGCCTCGCTTGCTCATAGCTCATACCTTGCTCATAGGCATACATTCCTTATAAAACATTCATATGCGCATTTCCAGTTTTTTCATTGTGTAGGCCCGAAAAACTTAAAATTTCCATATTTTCTCCAAAGTGATGCTGGGCTGTAAGCAGTTCAATACTATTTGGGTTGGAAAGCACCACCGCGGCTTTTCACCCTTCTATAAGGGTTAGTTCTCGAAAAAAATCAAATCTAATTTAGAAAACAGAAAAAAGCTAAATTCGACATTTCTCAAAACTATCACTTTAGGAGGCTAAACGTCTCCTGTTGTACTTCCCAAGCCAAGTAGTATAGAATTGCTCACGCGGGAACAGCCCAGCATCAATCTGACAAAAACGTGATCCCGAACTTCCCGTGGATAACTTAATGTGACAGCACTAGTGCCATTTTGTAAAGCCTGCTTTGCTCTATCGACTATATCCCATATACGCTTTTGGGGTTTACCTAGTTGTGATGCTGAGGAAGTAAAAGCGACATTTTTCTTTCTAACCTAACAGTTTCTACTAAGTAATGATTCATAACACTTTACACAATTTCATACCGTTTTTCTTTTATATAACAAAATCCTTTGCCTCCCAAAGGTGACTTAACCTTCCAGCAAGCGATAAGCAGATATACTAAAAATTTTACAGATCGCCATTGGTAGCAGTGCAAAAATTGGAAGAATGACTTACATTTGCGAAGATGCAGGAAACGGAAGTGTTCGGATTCGTTACTACTGGGAGTGATAGAACAGCAATTTCCCATCATTCCTCCTATCTTCAGTTTATAAAGACGAAATGAAGTTTTACGATCGATGGACCGCACCTAGCTCCATCTGGTATTGATCAATTTTCACTCAGTAGGAGTTGTAATTCGACATTGCCTTGATTTGCAGGAAGATAAGTAGCGTTCCTTTTTATAAGGATTTTGGAATTGTGCTCAAGTTTACAATGCCAGAATGCTGAACGGGTGTTCACCTTAAGTTACACTCGAAATCGAAAATTCGGTGTGCATGTTTATGTTGTTACAAAGGAGCTTCTTTGAATGTGCTCACATGAAGGTATCCTGCTATATCTTCTTGCGCAACTGGCATCATTATCACTACAGTACCCATCAATAATTATTCTTGTTCTCTAGTTCGTAACGATAGTGCTACCGAAAAGAATTGAGTCTTGCGAAAGTTTCAACAAAGTAATTTTTGAGCAACAAGCCAAAATTTTTCTGTGATTGCGACTACTCAAGCCGTCGTTGATGTACTAATAAAATACGCATTTGTACAGTACAAAGTAGCGCAACGAATGTTTTGTCGTCATCTCAGCCTTATGGAATTTGTAGGAAGAGTGGAATGTTGTCGTTTCTTACAGCTACGATCTGCGTTACAGTACCTGCTGTTTCAACAGTGTACAATATTTGAAAGCATGTGAAGAGGTTGACTGTAGCAAGTTGTATTTTGATAGCAACAAGTCACCAGATCACGGTATAATGCAAGAGTAACTCTCCCTTACTCCCCCTATGCCGTTTAAAGGGACCTTATGCCTGTTCAAAAAAGGTCTTCTTTCTCAATAAACAGTCGACCACGCTTTTTGAAAACGCTTTGCATGGCAAATTTTTTTCAAAAAGTGCCAACACAAGTCCTCTTCATCGCACTGATAACGCTGTTACCTCTCCTTTAATTACAAAAGTTCCCACTTCGTCTGCGATAATTTTTTGTCTCCACTGCCACATGTAATGTATGCTTGCTTATGAGGCAAGACACTTCCTTTGTAAGGCTGCTTTTGATAGTGGCAGAGACTTTTGTTGCCTTGCATGGTATTGTTGTTATTCGAAAATCGATCCCATACGAGTCTTCCACCAAGTACGGTAGTTGGGAAACGCGCCTACACTGGCTTTCAAGGCGTGTCCGGGCAGATTCGTTACCTTAGTCTCAACTTTTGAGCAGGGCTTCCCTTGCAGATCATAGCCTGATTGCGACTGCGAAATATTGCTTTTCAAAAGCCAAAAGTGCTTCAGAAGTCCAAAGACAGACGCCCCTTAATTTAGTCTCATTATTTAGGAGCAGGAAGTCGTGGCGAGACGCCCTGCTGTAGCGTCGCAAGACCGTATCCCACCACAATTCCATGCTTCGGTAAGGACGAGACTAAATTGAGGGGCTGTACTCTTGATTGTTCAAAATTTCTCGCTTCAAAGAAGTATTTTGCAGTCGCAATAGACTATGGTCTGCCTGGGAGCTCCTCTTAGTAATTTGCTAAAAGTGAAATGCTCCTATTTGCCCGGATACTGCTTTGAAAAATGCCATATATGCGGAAGCGTTGCAAGCTCGATGCAGCTCAGGCAACGGATAGGACCCCTCCGCCGGAGAAATGGCAGGGTCGCGGCGTTTCCCCAGCGGTGGGTCTCCCATTTGTCCGGCGGAGCCCTCCCATTTCTGCTCCGGATACCTCCCATTTTCTGCTCCGGATACCTCCCATTTTCTGCTCCGGATGCCTCCCATTTTCTGCTCCGGATGCCTCCCATTCTCTGCTCCGGATACCTCCCATTTTCTGCTCCGGATACCTCCCATTTCTGCTCCGGATACCTCCCATTTTCTGCTCCGGATACCTCCCATTTCTGCTCCGGTTACCTCCCATTTTCTGCTCCGGATACCTCCCATTTTCTGCTCCGGATACCTCCCATTTCTGCTCCGGATACCTCCCATTTCTGCTCCGGATACCTCCCATTTTCTGCTCCGGATACCTCCCATTTTCTGCTTCGGATACCTCCCATTTCTGCTCCGAATACCTCCCATTTTCTGCTCCGGATACCTCCCATATTCTGCTCCGGATACCTCCCATTTTCTGCTCCGGATACCTCCCATTTTCTGCTCCGGATACCTCCCATTTTCTGCTCCGGATACCTCCCATTTCTGCTCCGGACCCCTCCGATTTTCTCCGGCGCGGCTCTTCCAAATCTGGCGGACTCGCGCCGGGCAAATTTCTCCAGCGCGAGTCCGCCAAATCTGGCAGAGTCGCGCCGGAGAAATGGCGTACCTTTGCAGCAGGGCCGGAGAAGCCTCCCACTTGCCTGCCAGTAATGTCACCGCGACGGACCGCCCATTTGCCCCTCTCTCATTGGTCAACTGGGTCCGGCGCACTCTGGCAGATTCGGACTGTCCGGCGGAGGGGTCCGGTCGATTGTCTGAGAGTAAGCTTAGAGGTTGAAAATAGCATGATGTCAAGACAGTAAGTAAATTTGCATACTACGAAATTGTTAGATGCAGATTTGAATAAGCTTTCATGCAAACTTGTCTAACTTCCCACCATAACGGTAGAACCGTATTGAGCAATTTGAATCAATTGTGATTGTCATTAGCCATCTCTTGCCCCTTTTATTGAACGTAGATTGCAGATGACGAGTGGAATCTATGTGTTCAGGTGATTTTAATTTCTAGAACTTATTTAAGAAATTAGTTTATCCGGTGAGTTTTTTTGAGGTTTCCAGGGAACAACTAAAACTCTTAGAATTACAATCGAGACATTTCTTACAATCATATGTGTAATTGCTCACAACGTGCACTTTGCCCTACCCATACTAAAATTCTGGTTGCGAAAACGCAAGGGACTGAGCAATTGTTGACGTTTGCATCTTGAGCATTAGCTTACCAAAAAGTAAAGAAGTTTTTGAACACGGAGAACTCTTACTTCGAGCGGCGTCTATTGCAAACATCCAGGGTGAAGGCGGCAAAAACGGACGTTTTGTGCAGTGACTTATATGATCACATGAAATGACTCGTCTTTGTATGACTCTGATCGGCCTTGTTAGCCGAATTGTATTGAGTTCAATATCTCGGTTATCTTGGTTAGTATTCTTCGTTAACATTTTTGCCACAAACTTTATCGAAAATGAGGATCCATTTTAACACCTTTGCTAGGTTTTCTGGTTCGTTGTTACGAATATTGCTTAATGCTATGCATAATTACTCCCATGCTGTCATTTCATTGCTGCATCTCTCCGTCGTTCAATATCGTTTTCGATTCTTGCGAAATCGATGGGATTTTCTCTTAGTAAATAAACTTGCACGTTTTCGAATCACAAAGAGTTGAGACGACTCATTATTTTGAGCTAAATTTTCTGTCTCACCTTCTGCAAACTTGTAACGCTTTGCTTGATAAGCTGTTGCAGTGGTGGAGCATACACATTGACCGTTCCCTGTTTGCAAGCATATTTGAATTTTATTGGATCAGTCCTATCTCTTCGAACGGCAAATCTCAAATTTTTTCAAGATAACTTATCCTTTACTTTTGGTTCATGTAAATGTACAAGTAAGTAGGACAGGAGTTGGCCTCGCAAATCTTAGCATGTTTGATGATTGCCTCCAATCGCCTGTTTAGTCCAAAATGAAACCTAATCGCTTACTAACTGCATCACTGGTGACATAGCTTTTGGAAAGAGTAAAAGCAGTTAAATTCAGTGCAACCTCACAACCATACGATCGGAATCTAAAAAAGCGACCTTACAAAGTAATTTGAAGTTTGGTTTCAATAAGCAATACGCCCAGTAGGTACCCTTTGATTCAACTGGATTGCCGGCTAGAAGGTGGTGGTTCGTGACCTAATCAAGGCTAGACAATGACCAGAGAGCACTTTGCGAGAGAGACGCAAACTGTGTCGCGGGCGCGAGCGGTCGTTTCCCAGCCGCCAATCTCGTAGAACCAAACGGTCTAGTTTTTCTGGGTACCGTCACTCTTTTCGTAAGAATGAAAAAGTTTGATATATATTAGGTCATTCCGAAAGTAATTTCGTTTTTTTCAAACGGGCGCAACATCTGATGGAGCAAAGGTTTCTAAGAGATCTTGGTAGCATTTGATGCAGAAGAATTTCATTCTCTTTCTAATGGTTATGGAATTGTTGCAAAACAGTCAATGACCTGTCAGAAAATAACCAAAATCTGAGACCCATGCTTTTTGAAATGGTCAAGTTTCACGATTTTTTACACCTTTCATATCAATCCTCAAAAGGAATTCAAGTAACGATTCGATAGAGTAAAGCTTATAGAATACAGCGCTACTTTTTTCCTTTCTTGTAGCTCGCCGTAATTTTTTAAAAGATTTTTAACAGAACTATCGAATTTTATCAGTCCCACTTCAACCACAATAGCATCAAACATCATAATTTTTCGGAATTTGAGACAACCCAGATGGTACTATGAGTTAGCATTGATTTTACAAAGCAAGTGAGGGTTTACGGGTTCGAAATATCAAATTTTGAGTTTTTCGGGTGCAGCCTGGAGCTCGCTAAAAAATGAGTTATGATGATTTCTTCCCGGAAACTAAACGAATCGGAAACAAAAAACACACGTCAGAATGAGGAGAAAATGCTGCATCGAATAGTGCCCGAGCTGCTCTTCCTTTGATGTTCTACGAGGATTCAGCTGCCCAAGTATGGAAATCGGTAGCATCGGTTAAAATTCTGTTAAAAATGTATGACAAGCTATGGAAAGGAGAAAAAAGCAGTGCTGTACTCTATAATGTTTACTCTATCGAACCTTTACTTGAACTCCTTCTGAGGACTGATATGAAAGTTTTAAAAAATCGTTAAACTTGATTATCTCAAAAAGCATGGGTCGCAAAATTTGGTTATTTTCTGAAACCTCATTGACTGTTTTGCAACAATTTTATAATCATTGGAAAGAGAATGAAATTCTGCATCGAATGCCCCCAAGATATCTTAGAAACCTTTGTTCGATCAAATGTAGCGCCCGTTTGAAAAAAAGCGAAATTACTTTCGGAATGACCTAGTATGTTACTTTTACTATTTCTGATTGTTTCTTCGCGATTTTTCTATCGTGCCTCAAGTCCACATATCTGTCGTAACAAAGGTCAAACTTTCGTAATCTTAAACCGTAACCTCTTGCATACTAGAAGATTGGCTTCTACCCCTTTCATCTTGTTCTTGTCACTCTACCGTTTAGAGATCAAACTTTGGCAAAAAACGTCTTGTGCGTATTTTTTGAATGAAAAGCTGCTGCTCTTGCGTGGCTTTCTATTCTCAAAGCGCTTCTTGCCCGTTGCGAGGCACGAAAATATTTCGAAAGCTTACAACAAATCAGAGTTGAACCAGATAAATGCAGTTCATCTAACTTGCATCTTGCAGAGAGGCATTTGCCCTTCGAGCTGCTAGCTGAATTTTGCAAAAGGATCTTGTGTGTGGTAGGTATAAAGCTTCTCTAAGGTTGACTGAGAAATCGATTTGGTAATTCAGACGCATCGCCGCAAAGCTAATTAACTGTCCTCAAGTCATCGCCGAAAAGGTATCCATGCGTTTCGCTCATATGTTCAAGTAATATGCTTTCAAACTGAAATCATGAGCGTCATTTTTAGATGTTGAACTTTAACGAATTTTTGCTCGAAGACAGCGATAGCGAAGAGGATGAGCCGGAACGGCGTTTACATAAAGATCGCGCTTGCCCTTTCGAAACGCTATCGGACGTCGAGTTTCGAAAGGATTTTCGTTTTAGTCGTCCGGTCTTCTACTAACTTTGCGAGATGCTTAGAGAAGATTTGGCGCATACAAGGGTTAGGGGAACGTCTCTGACGGTTGCCCAACAAGTAGCTGCGTGTGTTCACCTTTTGGGGAGAAATGCCATGCAGGCCGATTCGGCGCGTCTTGCTGGGGGTAACCAAAGCACGGTTTCGAGGACCCTACGTGTGATTCTGGATGCTGTTGTGAAGTTGGCGCCAAGATACATCAATTGGCCTTCAGATGCACAACAAGAAGAAATAGCGCGAAGAATTTAGCGGAAGTATAGACTCTCTAACATTGTTGGGATGATTGGCGGCACGCACGTTAGAATTGTGGCACCAAGAGAAAATGCAGTGGATTACATAAATAGGAAGAGGTACCACTCAATAAATGTGGGAGCCATATGCAACGACAAGTTTTTATTTCAAAGGGTGAGCGCTTCATGGCCCGGTTCCCCCACGACAGCAGGGTCTTCAAATCTTCGGAACTTTACAAAGATCTAAGGGCAAGGAGAAAAAGGAGATGCATCATGGGTGATTCAGCTTACACCGCAGAATCATTTTTAATCAAAGTTCTGAGTCAGGCCAACAAGTGAAAGGTAGTTTTTCGCTTTTTAAGCGAGATTTCACTGTTATTGTTCTTTTCTTTCAGAACAACGGTACAATCAATTGAGCAGGCTTTTGGGATGCTAGAGCGCCAATGGCACATACTCCATTCAGGATGCAGGTAAAACGACTACATCAGACATCTTTATTTTGCAAACTTCGCAGGAAAACACAAAAAAACAATAATCAAATCAGTTCTTCATTCACTCGTATAGAAATTCAAACAGTTTGAGACAAGATCAGTAACGAGGTGATTGCAAATTCGAAGTCATCGTTGCAAATACGACCCGGATACCGCCGCCAAAATAACAATAACGTGCGTGGTGCTGAGTAATCTTGCGAATCAAAGAAATGAGCCGCTTTTCGAGGACGACGACGATCTGGAAGTGGTTGAAAGTGAAATGGAGGGAGAAAATCAAGAATTCCACACTACTTCCGGTCGTGCCCTCATAAGGAGGATAATCGAAGAATTTTTTTAACTTACTTATTCATCCTCGCCAGGTCCTTGCCAGGTCAATTTGTATTCGCGTGTAGTCGATTTTTGCCCTGACTTCCTCACACTGTAGGCAGAGCAGTATGTTTTCTTGTCTCTTGTTTTGCAGTGATTGTTCCAATATCTCATTGCGTAAGTTTTCGTTTTGAATTTGTTTTTGAATTTGCTCCGACTTTAGTTGCAAGACTTGCTCTTTTTCACAGACGAAAAAGACTGCTCTGTGAAAATGATTTGTTTTGAATAATTGTTTAGATGTGTGTTATAAAACTTGATGCTCACTTCAAGGCTTGTATATTGGATCGTCTTTTTTTGCGAGGAGGGCTGTCGTCGATGTTGTGCGGCTTTTTACCCAAACTTCGCGAAGTCAGCGGAGTAACCGCAGGGGTGTTTTCGTCCGTATCAGCGGAAGGAAATGGGTCCACCTTAAAAATACTAGTTAGGAACATGTATCCACACAACGGCAAAATACCTCTTCGGCGATTGGGGTCACACACTCCTCATAAATGACATTAACATCCATGGTGTTCGTATTTGGAAGATTCTCTGTGTTTGGAACATTCTCTGTGTTTGAAAAATTCTGCGTGTTTGAAGCATTCTGTGTTCGAAACATTCTGTATGTTTGGAACATTCTGCAAGGGAAAATTATAGGATAGAAGTTGCGTTACGTTAGTGTACGACTCATTGCAGCGTTTGCATTGATTTCCAAAGGTTTCTTCAGACCCGAAAGGCGCGGTCTATTGTCGCAGCCCTCAATTACTATTTTCACATGAGGAGGAGCTGCTATGGAGATCGGAGGACCACCGCCTGTCTTCGCCTCTTCATTTCGCTGCAAAAAACGTTGATACATTGCTGTTTTTCAGTAACGGTGACGGACTTCTAACGCGCTTATCTTTTTCGCCGTCTTTAGTGTATCTTTTATTCTCTGATTGATCTGCTCAGGAGTCCGCGTTGAAAAGCCGTTACGTACTAGGTCTTCACAGATATCCTCCAACAACTTCTGCTTACGCTAAAGTGGAATAATTTTGATCAACAATAGAAGTCAAGATTATTTACAGGGGAATGGGTAGAAGGAGTTGTGTTGCCGAAAAGATAGGGGAGGGATGCGCGGACGCTCAGGCCAGCATTTCTGCACCTAACTGAAGTTACAAATCGTGTCAGGTCTCCGTAAACAACTGTAGCTTTTGCGACATATCGTCCATTTCCCGGAGGAAACGATCCCCCGCAGCCATCCCCGCTATGCACGAGGGGAACGCTGGAGAGGGGATCACTCCCCTGGGGATCTCTGTATGGAAATTGTCAAAACCGTTAATTTTCAGTTTTTTTGAAGAAGCTTATGTTGAGATAACAAGATAAAGACTACATATCAAACAGTATGATAGTTTCAATGCGTTCAGTTAGCCTGTAGGGATAGAACTATCATGTCGTATGAAAAATGCGCAAATCTCAAAAATGATCAGGAACTTCTACAAAAACTCGAAATTGATAGTAATATGCAATTTCTTTGCGAGAAGTGAACATAGAAGAAAGAGACAAAACTGCAAGCTACAGGTCGCTGAGAAAGGAACCCGGCGAATATCTTTCATCAATATGAACGCAATGTTTTGTAGTAATTGATTGAAACCAGAATATTCGCCTCTCTGGTATCAATTGAACCATCGAATCCCTACTCCGTTGCAGGGGATGACGATCCCCTTCCCCGTGTTATTAAGTCACATCCGTGCATACGGGGTTCGAGAGGGGAGAGGGAAAGGGATTCCCTGTGGTTCATTCGATCGATAAGGAGATAAATGCATAATCTTACCTGCGTGAATGATAGTCCGTATTTCGAGGATAATGTAGTGATTCCGTGATACACTTCATAATTTTGAACGTACCATTGCGAAACAATACACATTTCCGCGGACGTCATGGCGGTTATTCGTTTCTGAATAAAGATCTATTGGAAACATAAAAATTCCCAAAAACCGCTTACCTTCTTTTCATCCATTGTGTCGAAACAGTACAACAAAGGCAGGCAACTTTCAGTATCCAAAACTCTGAAACCAGATATTGAATTTGAGTCATCGAAAGAGTAATGCAAAGAATGAGCGGCAAGTCGAAAAAATCACGAAGTCTGCGAAATGCTGCACTTTCACGAGTTCTTTTATGGGAGAAGTAAATCGTCATAAGACGACCATAACATGAATTGCTAAATAGAGTCATACTATTTCAACAATCAACATTATCACTGACAGCTAGTATAACCAAGTCACAAAACAAAATAGGGAAAACGAAGAAGAGAGCGAAGGAGAGAGAGATACAATGGGAGAAGTGAAAGGAGAAGAGTGAGAAAAGGAAGTAAGGCACTCAAAAATCACTATTCATGTATATTGCATTCCAAAAACCATCCTGGCACACAAGAATTAATCAAAAACACTTTTTTTGACGAGTCCTTTTGGTAGCCGTGAGGTAGCGCGATTAAGCAATCTCACCATCCCCGCTGTAAGTGCAGGGGAGGGATCGCTCCCCTCCCCTCTTGCATAGCGGGGTTCAATGAAGGGGATCGTTTCCCTGAGGATCCAGCTCCCCTCCCCTCCCCAGCGGGGATGTACGTACATACGGGCCTAGGAGAAAGGACGTGCTGCAACTATAATGGAACTCTTACTATGTATTGTAAGAGATTCCATCACGTACCCCTGAACCTCTATTTATTCAAGACTTAGGTCATTGAGCAGTAATTATTCGGTAACGGATCTCTTCTCAGATAGAACAAATGGTTATTGAAGATAATCAAACAAACTCAGCGGAAGTCCTTCAGAATATGGGTCTTCCGCAACTGACAAGATAAAACGGACTATTTGCATGTCGGAAATATAAATTGCAAGTGACGAAGTGAAAATAAACTAGATAATGATTTCTTTGCTAGTTGAACTAGATTACGCACCGCACTTAAACTAAAAAAAATAAGGGAAATTCATTTATAACATCTCGTTTAATGATACCACCATAAAACAATTCCATTTCCTTGACCTTCACAGTAGTAGGTTGTACTTCCGTATGTTACTCTGGCACCAGGAGAGATTCAAAGAATAGATGTCTGTTTATTAGATACGTGAAGTCTATTTAAGTGATAAAAAAAGCGTTTCAAAGAGAACTTCATAATGGCGTGCTAGATGTGAAAAAAAAACTTGGAAACGGTAACCTTTGAGCGAAGGCGGAGAGTAGCCAGCGCGAGTAGTTTATGGTGCCTCTGCCTCCCCTCCCCCTATCCTTGTATCGAGCAACAAACAAGTAACAAAATTAACATAGTTTATGGTGCCTCTGCCTCCCCTCTCCCTATCCTTGTAACGAGCAACAAACAAGTAACAAAATTAACATAGTTTATGGTGCCTTTGCCTCCCCTCTCCCTATCCTTGTAACGAGCAATAAACAAGTAACAATTTACAATGTTCAAAAAGTAATGAAAATTATGTCTCTCTCTTGTCTCTTGTTATACAAGGTGCTTCAAAAAAGTGCTTGTATTGATTGTTAATAACTCCCTTGTCTTGAAGTATTCGAGAAGCTTTAGGTACCATTGTAGAACTGGCTTCGACTCAGAAATCTAGTAACTTGTGGGATATGGTTCATATGGACGCTGAGTTTCATATTTAAATTTGTAAGAGATTGTAAAGCTTTCTAAAGTTGTAAGCACATCTTATGAGAAGTCGACATATATCGCTGACATTGTTTGCCTGGCATAACTTTTTAGAAAGCTTCATAATAAGATGTAAACTCCATGATAACAGAGTAGCTAACAATCAAACAGTAGGACTTTTTTGAGAGACTCTGTATAACAAAGTCAAAAGCGTAGGAATTGCTCTAGAACTCGAAAGAACTGTATGTAGAACTCGAAAATTGCTGTATTTCATGATAACTAGTAGCATCAACCAGAAAATCCAAAAACGCAGCTGTATCGAGAAAGACGCAGAGCAGTATTTGAGATGAAAACTCTTCTCTCAGAAAACAAAGCAAATTTCGATTCTTTCCGTGTTAAGCGTTATTGTGCTTCCAGCGATGGGATATCATCCATTACTTGTATTTAAAACGATAAATGCTCGTTTCTACACCTTTTCTTCCTTGTTTTATACCGTCATCTCCCACTGCAAAAACGCCTGTATGACTGCATGTTTTTCATCAATCTCACTGATAAAGCAGGACGATTTCTTGCTTTCGGTCAAAGAGAAACCGTCTTCGAGTGGCATCCTCAAGCCTTGCACAATTTCAAAGACAGGAAACTGTTCCGTTCACGATATTTTTCTTTTTCTACATTTTTTTGCTTCTAGGTTAATTACTCAAACTACTTATTTTGTGATTTCCTAACTTTGAGAAAGACATAGTTCCGTTCCACCCTACGCCCAATCTTCGTCTTATTACTGATCACGTAAAATCACAAACCTGCTGCCCATTTACCACATATCACATAGCCAATTGATCTGAAGTAGTCATTATTATAAAATAACTACCGAAAAAATGTACTACTTATAAATTTTTCATTTTCGCTGTAGTCCCTTCGATTTTGCAAAGGCAGTTTGCTGTACTAAGGAGAGCATGCAATAGAAAACCCGCATGATGAAGAGCGCTATGACTTCCTACAAACAGCGGGGTTCCGATTTTGCCATACCAGCATTGTATAATGACAAAAGTAAGGCAGATATTAGCTTGTCCCACAATTCTCTTCATTCTTGGATTTTCGCTGTGATAGGTCATACACGTCCTACTCTAGATAGACATCAGGATACCATTTGATAGAGCAAAGCAAGCTCATTAGATGGTGTTTATGTACCCCAGTTTCGATCCATCTCAAATTTGAAATAAAAATCTAAAAAGTTTTCAATGTCCAAAAAATGAAGATTTTTTCATGTCTTCGTTCAAGAAAGTTCTATCTCTCACTCGCTCACGCATATACACTCCACATCAGACACTCAAACTTGTTGTTGTTGTATTTTTTATTAGCTAGAAATCAAAGAGATGAAAATCCCATGTTTTTACCAAGATGCTGTACTGTTTTTTACATCAACAACTATATACTACGAGCCCTTAGAAGTGTTTACAACCGTATTCTCAGTTCTCTATAAGCCATAGTTCCCGAGAAATATCGAATTTAGCTTTCCTCATTCGGGTTTTTCGCGCTTGGCTCAACATGTCTCGGAAAGGTTATAATGAGCCAAAGATATACGGTTGTACTTCTGAAGGCTTGCAATATACAACTGTTAGTGTAAGGACAGCCCAGCATTACGTAAAAATGGAAACTTTTATTTTCTCGATTTGACTAATAAAAAATACAGCGATAGCACACGCAGATGTGTCTGATGTGCAGTGTATATGCTTGAGCGAGTGAGAGATCTGTAAGTCTTTTTTTACGAAGACGTAAAAATATTTCATTTTCATTTTCTGAGCATCCGAAACTTTTTAGATTTTGGTTTCAAACTTGAGGTGGAGCGAAGCTGGTGCAAAAGGCATAAACGCCATCTTATAGAGCTTGCTTTGCTTTATTAAATGGTGTTCTAACGTCTATAGAATAAGAAGTATGACTTATCACAGGGAAAACTCAGAAATGAAAAGTTTTATGGGACAACCTAACAGAATTAGGTCGTAACATGAGTTTTGTTACACTTCAGGGAAAAAACCTCCATAACTTTCTCCAAAAATTTTTCCTCACCTCCAAATTGAACAGAGGGCTGTAAATGTTCAATATATACATGCCACACGTGAAAAATCCAACTTTTCAATTTTTTTGGATTTTTTTAGAATTATTTTTCGCAAATTTCCAACTTGCATTATTGAACAGTCTAGACTTTCAAACATTCTCAACTACTAGTATTAGGTCATCCCGAAAGTTTTGTCCATTTTTCAAAACGTTATAAAACCACGCACAATGAAGACCTAAAGAAGCTTCAAAATGCATTCGATGCAGCTTTTCCTTCTCTTTCTTACGGTTTTTTCGAACCAAAATCCATGCTTTTCTGATAATTGCTAAAATTCTTCACCCGTCATTTTTATCTGCTCAAAGTTCAGTTGATTTTCAAAAATTTCATTCCATGGCTTCGGAGAAGTTCAAGTATGGCTCAAACATAGCAATCCTAGGACTGTATGGCCATATTTTTAGATTCTCTTAATCTGCGGTTTTTAGCTTCAAAGAATTATTTCTTCGAAAGTCTTGATTTTTAGTAAAGTCATGAAACACGCAACTGCAGCAAAAACATGTAAACTCTTAAGTTTTCGCGAATTGAGACTTGTTTTTTATTGAACAATATTTATGCAACATAACCGATTTGATTTGCTTCAAAAATCTGCTTTTTGGAATTTCCGGTAATCTTTCATGGTAAACCTAATTAAAAAGCCGCGGTTTTTCTTAAATAAATAATTACTACGAACCTGATAAACGTGGTCTACTTAATCTAAAATAGGCGCGTTGTAGCCAAAGGTTTGCTCTACTCAACAGTCACTAGCGCTCTTTGAAAACATCAGAATAAAAATTCTAAAATTCGGGAAAGATTTGGCGTTACTGCTGAGCTGCCCAAAAAACCGTGGCGATAACATCACAAAGACAGGGTAGATCGAAGACCAAATATAACTGTAAGAAAGAGCATAAAATTATGAATCAAAAGGTCTCTAGGTCGTCCGTGGATTAGTGTGTTCTGTGAGTTTTAGTGGGCGATGAAAAAACCGGCAAAACTTTTGGGACAACCTAATACTAATGCCCTTAGGAATCCAGCAAAAATCTGAAAGCATAATCAATAAAAATGAGAGAATTTTCAAAGGCAAAAGAAGAAATGGAGATTCAAGTGCCGTCACAAAATTGCCTTTTACTGCAACCCATATTTGTAAAAGTGGATTGGTGTCAATATATTAGGTTGTCCCAAAAGTTCTTGCGCCAGATTTTCAAAAAATCATAACTTCCTTAATTCTAAACGATTTTTCCCAAGTTAATTTTTATATGAAAGAGGAACCTAGAGACCTAAAGACCTT